GTATTAAGAATAAGTAATTTAATATAACAAAATAATTTTAACGTGATAATTAACATTTTCGCGGTGATATTAGATTCTCGTGTCTTATGCAGGACTTGTGATGAGCGAGGGAAAGCTATGGAGGGAGCATAGGAAGTTCGCGCTCAGCAAGCTGCGTGAGTTCGGCATGGGGAAGGTCAGCATAGAGAAGAAGATCCAGGAGGAGGCGTCCGCCTGTCTCGCACATCTAAGCAACACCAAAGGGGAGCCGCTCGATCCACAGGTAGAAGGAATAACCAGAAATATTGTATAAATATACATATATATCCATCTCTAACTCTCACACTCTCTCTCTCTCTCTTCTTCATCACTAACGCTCCCTTATTCCTCTACCATACACCCATTATTTTGCAATCACTTGATTCACTTTTGTGGGTGTGTGTGCGTGTGTGTATGTGCGTGCGTGTGTGAGTGTGCGTGCGTGTCTGTACGTTTATGAGTGTGTACTTGTATGAGTGTGTGCGTGAGTGTGTGTACATATATATATACATATATACGTCCTTATGTTGGCACCGCAGGCTCTGCTCAGCAGTTGTGTGTTGAACGTGATTGCCTCCATCATATTCGGTGCTCGGTACGACTACGCCGACCCTGCCTTCCTCAGACTTAACGACGACATCAACACCATCTTCCTTCATACCGGCGTACAGGTAAGTACTTTCGCTAATATACAGGTATGTTCTGTCGGTAAAATACAGGTACGTACCGTCAGTAACATACAGGTACGTACCGTATGTAACACATTGGTTCGTACCGTCGCTAACATACAGGTACGTACCGTCGCTAACATACAGGTATGTACCGTCGGAAACATACAGGTACGTGTCGTCGGCATCATACGGGTACGTACCGCCGATAACATACAGATAGGTACCATCGGTAACATACAGGTACGTACCTTCGGTAACATACAGGTACGTACCGTCGGTAACATACAGGTACGTACCGTCGGTAACATACAGGTACGTACCGTCGGTAACATACAGGTACGTACC